GGAAACAGAGGTTTTGTAAAACACAGAAATGGAGAAGAAAAGCCGCTGAAAATAACATTTCCCCTCATGTTTATCCTTTCAGAAGGTGGTATTCTCCTAAGATTCAACATGCATGGGTCATAGTTGAGCTAAATCTGACCTTTTACTGATAGGCCCTCCACAGTCCCAAATGTACAGAATCAAACGATTTAAAAACTTGCTTTTGCACAGTGTTGGGTAAGTTACTTTAAAAATGTAATCCGTTACAGTTACAAGTTACTTTGTTTAAAATGTAATTGTAGTGTAACTTTTTCGATTACTTTTAAAAAGTAATGTAACTAATTACTTTTGATTACTTTAAGGTTTTAATGAGTATTAACCCATGATTCATTTTAGCGTTTTATTATTAGCTATTGGCCGCAGCTAGCACTTCAAGGCTAACGTCTTGTTAATGATCATAAACAACGAAAATAAATGAATAAATAAATCGGAGACAAGGGGCGCAGCGACGGCAGGTCACTCGTATCCGGATACAACATTTTAGTATCTATACTTTTTTAAGTATCGATACTTTTGACAACCCTAGTCTGAAATGTAGGACATGTCCGGTAAAAAGAGGAGTTGGCTAGGCTAGGCTAGGCTAGGCTAGGTCATAGACATCGATAAACGTTTGTCATGCATCAACACCAAACAGTCCAATATTAGTAAATCAATACGCTTCGTCTATCAGTGAGTTGCATATTTTGCAAAGGTTTTTCTTTATATTTAAAAAAAAAAGTAACTAAATTTGTAATTCTTAATATTTTCGGAAGTAACTGTAACTCAATTACATATTCTCTCATTGTAACTGTAACGAATTACAGTTACTCTTTTTTTGTAATTAAATTACGTAACGTCGTTACATGTAATCCGTTACTCCCCAACGCTGCTTTTGCATAATATGTCCCTTTTTAAAGCTGGTTCTCTTCCTCTTTTTGTCTGTTTTTAGGGAGCTGGAGGAGAAGCACGGCGTGCACTGCAACATGACGCTGCTCTTCTCCTTTGCTCAGGCCGTGGCCTGCGCCGAGGCCAAAGTGACGCTCATCTCTCCCTTCGTGGGTCGAATCCTCGACTGGTACAAGGAGAACACCGACCGGAAAACCTACGAGCCCCAGGAAGACCCAGGTACCCCCCCACACACCCCCCCAATGTGTCCACAGCCAGACTCCCATGGATGCTGATAAAATGTAATGTTTCACATTCAAAAATTATTGTAAAACCAGCACAAGAAAACCCGGATTCTTTTATTACATACAATACAATTCTTAATTGACTCTTTTATCTAAGGACAATTCTTAATTGATTATTTTATTTAAGGACTATTTTTAATTGATTATTTTATTTAAGGACTATTTTTAATTGATTCTTTTATTTCAGGACAATTCTTAATTGATTATTTTATTTAAGGACAATTTTTAATTTTATTTAAGGACAATTCTCAATTGATTATTTTATTACAATACAATTCTTAGTTGACTCTTTTATTTAAGGACAATTCTTATTTGATTCTTTTAGTTAAGGACAATTCTTAATTGATTATTTTATTACATACAATACAATTCTTAATTGACTCTTTTATTTAAGGACAATTCTTAATTGATTCTTTTATTACATACAATACAATTCTTGATTCACTCTTTTAGTTAAGGACAATTCTTACTCGATTCTTTTTTTACATACAATACAATTCTTAATTGACTCTTTTAGTAAAGGACAATTCTTAATTGATTCTTTTATTACATACAATACAATTCTTAATTGACTCTTTTATTTAAGGACAACTCTTAATTGATTATTTTATTACATACAATACAATTCTTAATTGACTCTTTTATTTAAGGACAACTCTTAATTGATTATTTTATTTAAGGACAATTCTTAATTGATTATTTTATTTAACTACAATTCTTAATTGATTGTTTTATTTAAGGACATTCTTAATTGATTATTTTATTTAAGGAAAAGTTTTAATTTATTTTATTTAAGGATAATTCTTAATTGGTTATTTTATTTAAGGACAATTCTTAATTGAGTCTTTTAAGTACAATTATTCATTTATTTATTTTTATTTAAGGACAGTTAAATTCCATGAAAAATGTCTTTTTTATTTTATTTTATTATTTATTTATTTTGTTCCAGCAACTTGGATATTAATCAGATTTTGGAAGTGCTGCATCAAAGATATTGACTGAATAAGTAGGATACCATTTTCTTGGGCCCTGGCAGAAAACCGTCCCCTGTAACTATAACAACGTCCCTAATTAAAACAACCATGCCTCTAATTACCTGTTGTGTTCATATGTTAGACACTGACATTGTTCATCACTGACAACTGCTATTTTTAGCCTTCTTTGACGTTGTTCGAATTGGAGCTTTCCCCCCCCGAGGTAAAAAGATGAACAATACGGCGTTCGCAGAGTGACGTCTGACTGTTTCCACCAGAGTTGGTGGATTCTCCCCTCTGTGACCAGCAGCTATCCGAACTCTAGATAGAAGAAGTCCTGAAGTCTAGCTGTGTCCTTCAAATTTCCTTTAAAGAAGCGTTTGAACAGCATTTTTAATATAGTTATCATGCAAACGCTTAACTGCTTTGATTTGAGGGAGTTTTATCACTTTGTGTCATGTGATTTTTGGTTGTTAACACTATAATGCCAAATGTGTCATATCTGATCCGGTTTCTTCATGTTGTTGAGGGGCCAAATAAAGACTTCAGACTTAAAAAATCCAATATTCTTCCTATTTTTCTTGGATCAGGCTTTAACCCTTTAAAGCCCGACCCAAGAATAAAACAGAAAACAGAAAAATTACTTTTTTTTTTGGTTTGAAGTCTTAATTTGGCCTTTTAACAAAATATGTAAAAAGAAAAAACAGAAATACATTTTTAATATTAATAATTTATTACTATGCGATAAGTCCAGATTATTTTTTGTGTAGTCTTCTGCCCCCTGTTATCAGGTGTATCTGATTGTGTACAATAGGATTTAGAGCAAAGTTTTTACCATTAAATTATGCAAAAGGTGTCAGACGCAAAACATTTCAGAAACCGTATGAATCAAACATGATACATTTGGCATTACAGGGTTAATGGAAACACAACCCACTTGAACCTGAGTGAGCGTAAAAAATGTCCACTGGCCTTTTTTTGTTGTGTAATATTCTCTCTCTCCAACATTTGATTTAATTTCCCCTACTCTCTCTCTCTTTGTTCTCCCTCTTTGCCCCCTCCAGGTGTGATCAGCGTCACTAAGATCTATAACTATTATAAGAAGTTCGGCTACAGCACGGTGGTGATGGGGGCCTCCTTCAGGAACTCGGGGCAGGTGAAGGCTCTGGCCGGCTGCGATCTGCTCACCATCTCCCCCGCCCTACTGGCCGAGCTCAGCCAGGACCACGCCGCCGTCGCCATGGCGCTGAGCAAGGACAAAGGTGACCAATTACAGATCTGGTCGTTTAGGTTTGAGGTTTTCTATGTTGTATTGTTTATGTCCGAATGTTAGCTGTTAGCTAAAAACTAAAAACTGTAGCTGCTCGTGTTTGTTGTTTTTCATAGTTGCAACTAGGGTTGTCACAATACTAA